AAGAACCTATCCGTCGAATTCTGAATTTGCATAACGTACTCCACTTCTGATTTATAACAGCCATACCTGCTCATTTTTCAACTTAATTGCAACTGTCTCTCTTTTGAACTTCACGATTACCTAGTTAGTTGGAACGCCTCAGCCGACTTTTACTGAGATTACTCAAAAGCTTTGAAGTAGATGAGGTGGCGCTGCTTTTGAATCAGATTTTTGTATTTCGATTAATAATGATCCAGTTAACTACCAACTAGCCTACTGAGAATCTCTCAAAATGCAGTCTTCCCTTAAGATCTGGTTTCACAAATCATTTTTTCGAGATGATGAAGCTACGCGTTCGGGCAACAACCACTTGTCAAGCATTTCAAATTCTATTGTTATTAATCGGTGGAGTTAAATTTAGATGATCTTCAGCATAGAAATAACTGAGCATATATATTGTGCCTTAAATGCTGTACTATGCAAGAAAGTAAATATGTCCGTAGCTCATAGTTTTTATCAGTGCTCTGAATTGGCTTTCCTTGGCTAACGTGGAATTCTTAAGACATATTCAGGGCTAAGAACAACAGAATCTACTGGAATGTTATTCGCTGGACGCCCAAGAGTTGCATACTCAACCAAACAGCTTACATATGTGTACCTTATGGGCGGTCACCTAGAGAGAAATAGTGTTTTTGAAATAAAAGATCTGAAAACCGGACGTCCCCGATGCACTAACTGAATTCTAGATAACCTTTTTTCAGTAAATTTTGGCCAGATAAAAAGCGAACTTTTTGAAGAAATAAAATATATCTAAAGCTTTTATGAGATGAAGTCAAGTGGTAAACATAAACATGTGATTTTAATGAGTAACTGTGACTGATGTTGAACGTTTTTCTATGAAGTTATCACCATCCAAAAACTTACTAGCATTTTATTCCGTAAAAGAGCAAGGGTATTGTGCTCGTTCTGGCCAAGGCATTGGATTTGCGTTTCTCCATATCATATCATACATTTGAATTGCCTTTTGAAATCGTTTCCCTCCACTGGCATATTTAAAAATCAAATAATCCTAGGTAACTTTCGTGTACATAACAATGTTGTAAGCTTATACGAGGACACGGATCTGGTTCATATAGGTGGACTAAATGCTTGGTAATATCAAATATTTCGGCTTCCTCAGCACGTATGAGAACATATCATCAATTAGCAACAGAAAATTTGATGAATGGTGAATAAAAAGTCCCCTGTTCCAAGGTTATCCCCGTGTTGTAGAGATAAATATGAGTAAAACTGTATTATAAGTCAATCTTGGTGGCGAAACCCGCGAACCGTACCTAAAACAACAGTGGTGATTTTGAGGTAAGATGACAGTCCTCGTCATTCTCACAACGAAGAACCGATGTTAAGCTTGTTTTTGTCCACATATACTGCGATATCTACATTTAATACGAAGACAAATGTCTGCATGTGGACAAAATAATGGCAACTGAGCTGTAGCGTTGTCAAACTCAACGCCAGTTCACAAGGCTCTCCGATCCACGTTTCTTCCCAAACAAAATAAATAGGCAAGAGGCGCTTGATTATTATTTGTGAAGATCACGGAAATATGTTGTGACATGAACATTTGCAAGTACTTTGTTCTTCGATTTGGGGCAAAGAGCTCAACTTATGTCTTGATAGTATACAGCGTTCTCGTGTGGAAAAAAACGTACAGAATTCCTTAAGCAACTAAAACACATGTTACTTTACACTATGAGGAGGCGATTTGTACATTTCATTAAAAAAAGTAAAGCATAACATGTTTACCTCTGACTGTAAATTCGTCTTCTTGACGCCGCTTTGATCTCCAAATGAGATTGAATAACCATGTCTTATAAATTGTGGCTGCCTTTCTAGAACGCAATTTTAGTTACATGGATTGCAAGCTAAATTTCGTCTGTGAAATTTAGTCGATAATTTAATTTAATTCGTAGGAGCAATGCCTAGCAGGCGAGTTTCCCACTTTCCCACTTTATCATGCAGGCTTTTTATCCAACGACACAGTGGACTTAATTTAACATTTTCATAGTAGCTGACCGAGGACGTTCCAGTGAATTTATAATTCGAGTTGTTTTTCAGACTTTCGTTTTCTTACTTTGGAATTTTATACTACCTTTATCGAGGGGAAGTATAGTTCCGCAACCCTTAAAAGACTTGTTCAGTCAATCACCCATAGGTGAATTTTCATGCGAAAACACATTGTTAGTTTCCTTTTGTGTTATTGAAGAGTCTTCTTTGTTTTCAGATGCCCCCAATGATTATTTACCCAAAGGATTTAAGACCGACGATTCACCTGACTTTGTCTTCGCATCGGGTCCAGTGAATCTTAAAATGGGTCTTATTGAGACGGTAACTTCTTGATAGCCACTTTCTCAAACCTCTTGTAGGGATTTCACAGGTGGGAAACCTTGAACTCGTTGGCATTTATTATTTAGTGTCCGGATGGTAGCGCATACCAGTTCCTACTTATTTGTCCCTCCAAACGAAAAAAGTAAAGTAGCCATCACAGCGAAAAACGTAAGTCCTATTCCAAAGAACCGCTCACATTTAAGTAAGCATTGTCCAGATTCTTAGTAAAATATTTCCTGCTATGATTGCTTATTTTGTTTTTTACTCTCATGCGATCTGTATATTAGGACCAATGAAACCTGCCTGTAGTTCTGAACTTTATTTTCTTCTATAAAGGGTGACTCAGGTTCGGAAAAGCACGTTATAACCTCAACAAATTCCAACATTGCACACACTCCGAGGTCGTCCTACCAGCAAACTCAGCCTGATATGTCCGACACCAACTTGGACGGCGAATTTGAAGTTTCATGTCCCTGTGGAATCAATATGGTAAATTTGTAAAATTTATACATTGACAACACAAGGATTGTGGCGTGATGATTCTTTGCGATGGCTGTGAACGTTGGCAACACGCAGTCTGCTTTAGGATTATCGACGAGGCTGATGTTCCTAAGTCCCATCTGTGTCGAGACTGTGCGAAAACCAAAGTAAGTGAGCAGTTATCCTTTACTTTCAACTGTCGTATTTTGTGTTGATCATGAAGGTCCAGGAACCGGTTCTTAACCGTAGAATCTAAATTATTACTTTTGATCATACATGCTTTCCATGTGGTTTAGTTTTAATGTTTTCCCCCATAGGCCCATATGCTAGACGACGGAAGTGTGACTGATACTACAATCCTGGATCTAACGAGTGAACAAGTTAAGGTGAAGTGATTTCCCATTATATTTTGCTACTTGATCAAGCGTCGTATTGCGCGTTTAACAGTCTGCACATATAAATGTGGTAAACAATAGCTGGAACAACAAGATGCATATGGCCAGAAAACTTCGCGCATGCCCACGACTACGTTGACAGAAGAGTCTGATGGCTGGTAAATTAGTTGCACGCTACAGTACTGGACGAAATTGGGTTCAGGGCATGGTTTATTAAGTTTGATTTTATTGATTATCTGCCTTGTCTCCATTACCTGTGCGCCAGTTGGTAGGTGGACTACTGGGCCAGCTAACTCTCGTACAATGAACTTAGGCATTCAAGTTTTTTATAGAGGTGAGCATTCGAGTTCCGTGTGAGCGTAAGGAAGATGACCGGTTTACTGTTGGTAGTGCGATTCTGTATGGCCATATTCTGCTCAAACAGTGCGTATACATCGAAAGGTTAAGACTTTGGGCGTAGGTACATTGCCAGACTTGGACTTAGGTCGGTTTCGTCTGTAATTTTATTTCTTACGATCACTTATAACAAAATAAGACTGCGCCCTGTATCCACAACCGGATTCTTGTGGAGGTTTCTCCAGAACCTTATATCCGCATGTTTTTGTTTTGTTTTCAGCATTAATCCTAACCCCTTATCATTACGCATCATGAACACAGAGTCAGCATATAGTTTCTCCTTTTCCTTCCTCCTGTAGTCTGTCTGCCTTTTCCGACGCGCACTCTTTCTCTGTGTGAACAACGATATGCTCTCAGTTGGTAGCATTTCCAACCAGCTTGGAGTGGATGCCAGTGTGGCCAAAGGTCTCCTGAACAAACTTCAAAGTGAGGGTGCAGTAAAGGATGTTAGAGGTCGAAGGTAATGTGTTTTTTGTCGGAAGGTTTTTTCTCCCTTAAATAAAATATTAAACAAACGAGCCAAGCGTTGCTAACGAGACAAATTAAGCTTTAGTTTCGAGTCAATATCAGTTACCCTTAGTTGTTATTTATATTGTTTACTTGAAGTACACAGTCTGTTTTTACAATTTTGTGCTTTCAGTGGTAACAAAGCTGTCTTGAAGGCGCATGTCGAAGGCGTGTTGCTTCCGAAATTTTTCTACATAACCAACAAACCAGCCTCGCCACAACATCTGAGAGAGGTAATTTTTATAGATGAGAGACAACTTTGGGCGGTTTTAACTATCAACCCTATTTGCCTGGAATCGCTTTAGCTTGCATATCCAACTAATCACAGATATCCAGTCTTGCCAGTTGCAGTCCTCCGCTAAATTCCTACGTTATCCCAAAATGCATGGACTTGCTGTTATCTAGTCAACTTTTGAACTCCTAAAGCATTCCAGGCTTTCCACTTTGGGATGATGGGACATTGGTTCGAAGAAACAAGCTTTTGTCAACGTTCTTACGTCCATATTTGCTGCCTTTTAACTGGTTTTTCAGTTTTCAACGAGTACAGATCTGCTTATACCGTTTAACCTATCAGCTAAATGGAAATTGTATGATGTTATTCAAAATAACAGGATTTAGTTAACTTTGTGCATGCTTTTATTGAATGTCTCCCCGTTTAGCCTGTTTATGTTCTGTCATCCATTTAGGATGGTTCGCTGTCCACAAGATCGCCTACCCCGCCATCTTCAGTAGAACGCAAAAATGTTGGTTCAGCCAAACGACGTCACCCACCCGATGTGAGCTTGCTGACTTTAAATACCTTTAGTATACTAAAAACCTTCAGAATTCGTATTTTTTATAATCTCTAGAAAGAACGGCGCTTATTACGTATGTTTTGAACTAATTAAATAATACGGAAATATCGTTACATTACATAAATTCGGCCTATTGTTTCAGGTCGGCGAACTGAGTATGGCGACCGAAAACCTCAAACTGCAAAAGGATCCTGAAGTAAGTTACCTCACGACTACTCTGCACGCACTTGCAAGTGCCGTGCTGGCGGACATTTTGGGAGCTTATGAAAATGACTAAACTACTTAAACATCAAGCAAACCGTTCATAGCAAATAACTAAAAACCTGGAATTATTCCAGAAGAGTGTGAAGTATAATTGCTTACTGCATAATAGTTACATACAGGAACATTGTTCGAAGAGCTGATAGTGAGGAGAATGGTTAACTTGGATGAAATATTGATTGCTTTAGTAGATTTCACAGGGAATAGCGGTGGCGATTGCTTCCTGAGCCTATATCACACAGCTCTATAAGATAAAGGTGTCCTGTCAGCGTAGGCTTCGACAAACATGGGCCTTCGTTAAGAAATGTTAGCAAACAAAAGACTTTTACAGCACCAGGAATCACTCTTCCTCGCTTTTGCAACTGCAGCATCATTGAGTATGTTTCCTGCAAATAATATGAACTGCTTAATCAATAATTGGGGTATCGCAGGGGGTTAAGTAAGTTAAACCCTAGCAACTGCGATCTTCAGACCATGGTTACTTAATAGTGGAGAAGAAGTCGGTAGGGGCCAGAGTATTAGGAACAGTATATTGTGTACACAGCGGAACGAAGAATAGATGGAAGGAATTTGAATTGGGAGCTCACGACCAGTCAGGAGGGCCTGCCGGGTCCAAGTTTCGGTTTGATAGCAGTCAGGCCAATGGGCAGAGAGAGCAAA